CAGGCAGGATCCCAGGCACACAGCAGAGTTGATCAAGGGCACCACAACCCTTGCCCTCATTAAACTCACATCCTGGTGGGTGACATGCAGACTCGGTGCATGTTCCATGTGTGTTTCAGTGTGTACATGGTACAGGCGAGTGTTATCTGACGGGGGCCTGCAAGGCTACTGTGCTTTCTGGGCCATCTGGACCCTCCCCACGCCTGCCCCTGCTCCGCCCAGCCCTACACCGACAGCCGAGGGCAGGCACATGATTCCAACCCCCTTGAGCTGGTGGGCAGCTCGTTCTCATTTCTCAGTTAAGTTTAATTTTGCCAACAGCCAAAGGCAATGACAGCAGCTCTGGAAATCTGGCTGCAGGCACTCTGGCTGGGATAGGCAACCCAGAAATAATTGCCTCTTTGAGTGTTTTATTGGAATGCCCACGTGCTTCCTGCTGCTTACGGGGACTACTCCCTCCCAGGGCCACTAGTTGACATGAGGAATGAACCAGGCCTGTGAGGCTGTTCGGGGCTGCTTCAGGGAGGGGGGCGGGTGGGTAGGCCTCTGGGCTGTACTTTGTCCATCCTCCTTTCTCCAGAGCCACCTTCTTCAAGTGGGAGTTTGGAAAGCACTCGCAATCCCGCCTGTCATATGCACCAGAGCCTCACCACCTTGTGGATGCAGTTTCCTCCCAGGTCTGCCTGGAAGCCCCCACTGCCCTGGAAGCCCCTTGCTGTGCTGGTTGAGGGTGGGTGGGGCCCTGAGACTCGAGCTCTGAAGGCTGCTTTGCCCTTGGAGTCTCCCCCTCGTCACTGTCTCCAGTGCAAGACGCCTGCTTCTCCTTGGTCTGAATAGGGGAACAGGATGTTAGTGACGACAAGACCAGATTTTCCCAGGTGTGGAACCAGCCAGATGGACCCTAATGCTATACCCTGGCTCAGTCCACTGGACCTGCAACTGCACCAAGATGGCCACCTCCTGTGTGGCTGCTGTCGGGGTGAGGAGAGTGCGCAGGCAATGGGCAAGCGTGAAGGGGGAACGACTGCAGTGATGGGAGAGGTTTCACTTATCTGCCCCAAATCTGGCGGCATCTTCTCCAGTCACTGAGACTATCTCCCTGCCTCCAGCCCTGCCAGGGCCTCCCAGGCTCCCTGAGGACCCCACCCCACATCCCTGACTTGGCTAGTTCAGTGGGCAAGTGGAGAGAGGTTCCATCTCCACGCACTTACTTTAGCCCTGGGCCTTGGCTGAAATCCTCTGGGATTACATGCCTGTTGACCATATCCTCTCTAAAATGATCACCCTTCATCTAGATTATGATACGGCCTTCAGGGACATGAGGGAATGGCTGCCAGTGTGGATGCAGGGAGCCCCAGCCCTGTGTGTGGGGCACAAAGACATACACGTGCAGGCAACTCCTGCTGCTGGTGCCTGAAGCTCCAGTCCCCCAACATGTCAGAGGGGCTGCATCATTCAATTCCTTCCCCATCTTGGCTCCTGGAAAACTCCACTCATTCTTCAAAGTCCTGATCAAACATCACCTGTCCTTTAGAGGCTTCCCTGATCCCTTTTCAGGCAGAACTGATTACTCTCCTTCCACTCAGTATTTCACTCTGCAAGTGGCCTTGCCTCGAGCAAGTTACTGCTTATTACATGACTTTTGTGAAATCAGGGTGACAGAGCCCTTTGCACAGGTTAGTGAGGAATCAAAGATAATGCAGCTCTAAAACCTAGTATTGTTCCTGGCACATGAGCAGGGCTCAGAAAACGACAGTTCCCAGAGTGATGGTGGCAATGATCACACTTTTTCTTCTTTTTTCTTCAAATCAGACAGGTAAGGTGTCGACATCCTAACAAGTTTTGAGGGAGGCACACGTCATGCAAAGAACAAACACCCAATCATCATCGCATTCATGAACTACAAAAGGGTCAACAATCACACTTCTGCAGGGGGCTGTGTACACACGCCGTCTCTCATAGGCTGCGGGCTCCTTAAGGACAAGCGCCACAACTGAGTCACTGCTGTCCCACAGCTCCCTGACCGGCTCAGAGTGAGTACCCAATAAAGGGAAATAAATACCAGCATTATCATTAGGATACTTAAACAATACCAACTGGACTTTAGTGCATGTTTACCATGTGCCAGGCACAGTGCCAAGCAATTTACCAGGCCTACTCAATCTTCGCAACAACCTGGTAAGGTAAATGTTACCATCCCCATTTCACAGATGAGTAAGCTGACGCTTCTCGAGGTTAGACAGTTTGCCAGAGGTCACGTAGGGAGGAGTGAGGGATGGAGGCAGTTTTTGAACCAGGTCGGTCTGACTCCAGTTTTTGAACGACTCCATACTTGACCGCTGAGCATGCTCGGCACTGCAGCCCAGTCCTCAGTCTAGCTGGAAACAGGAACTGGGTTTGGTTTGCTTATGCAGACCCTGATCCCCACACAGACCCTGGCATGAAGGAGGCTCCCTGGTCAATGTTTCTTGGATTAGATGAGGAAAAAAGATAAAAGGAGACGGAGAAAGGAGGTCAAGGTAGATGAGGCCAGAAGGGGCTGGAGAGGGCTGTGCCCTGGTCCTCAAGTTCACATAACTTTTCCAGGACCCCTTGCCATTCCCACCATCCCAACTTCCAAGTGTGTTTGAAAGGGGTTCCCTTGGAAACACACTGAAGCTCAGAAGAATGGGAACCGAGGGCTCAGGTGCTCCCTCCATCCCAGACAGGCCCTCCCCAGCCCCAGGACCCCTGGCCTGACTTGTAGGCCACAGAGAGAGGTTTGTGCTGCATGAGGGTGCCAGCATTTGGGAGAAGAGGAAACACATGTAGACCACAGCACCTTTGTGCCTCCAGGGAGTCACCCTCCCCACCTCCCCTCCCCCCACCAACTCAACATTCAGGGCCTAACCTCATCAGCAGGGGCATGACCGAGGGATGACACCCTTGATGGGGGTGACTCTCCGCTGTGAGTGGGTGGAAGGTGTCTGCTTCTTGTCCTGTCAGCACACTGGGGTGGGGGGAGGCCTGCCTGCGCATTTGACCTCAGAGCCAGGGTCATGGGACTTTGACCAGCTAGCCTAGCCCTTCCTGTAAGCCCCGCTGGTGCGAGGGAGGGAGAGGGAAATTTTAATTTACATGTATTCCCTCAATTCAGAGTCTGGACAGCTAT